TCCAGGTAACCCCTGTATTATAGATACTCCAACTAAAGTCTGTTGATTCTCACGGCAACAAAATACCAGCCGCACGATGGCTACGATAGAATGCAGTCGAGCATCCCATCCTTGAGATGGTCAAAATTGTAGAGCCTACCACGAGCGTATTATAATAATCGGGAAAAGACGATGGCAGCAGTAACAACATACGCCTGTTATCATACACTGCGGTGAAAAAGAGTACCATTCAAGACCGCACGAAATGACCAGAATACTATGTGACGAAAGTAGCGTCCTTATAAAGAAGCAAGGAGCAACTACTAGCACTCAAGAGAGCCCACTCGTCATGAGTAGCAAGAGCTGATGACCACCGCATGGAGGAGTATACTACATAACAGTCTTCAACAGTCTCCCCCAGGAGTATATAGGGACAGTCGTTAGTATGCAATCAGAAAGGACTCTCAAATCTGACATGAAATGATGCGCCATAATTCCACTGAATTTACCAGTACCTCATCCTTCACTGTTGCAGCTTTAGTCTGCCTCCTCACCTCGGAGCTCGTTGCCATTGAATGGTTACTCTCCGTCTGCCTTACAGTATCACCACTGCTCTCGATCACCCTCGGGCCAGCAGCGGCCACTCGAGACGGACACTTGGAAGCATACTCTTCAAAATTGTTATTAAAAAGGACAGCCAGACGCTGTAACTGTTGGAGATAGGCCTGCTTGTCAGCCCAACCATTAGCAGGATCCAGAACCTCACTTGGGATACCAGGCAACGATGTGGGGATCTGAAAGAAGTGTGGTATTCACAAACCCTGTTGAACAAATGTCACTCTCATCAGCATCAACCCCAAGTACCCTGAGTCCAAAGACTGGAGTCGATACGAGCTCCTCCGCTTCTACCATAGACTTGAGTGTACCGTTGTGAATCGCATCTATCATTTTACGGGTATACCTGTCATCAGCGATAAACATAAAAACTACCCCACTAACAAGTGCATATTCCTTACTCCAATTTGATGCGGCTTCCACCGTTAG